CACACTGTAATAACTCTTTTTTATTATCAAGCAATCCTATGGTGTTCCTGCTAGCCATACCCACTCTCCCTGAGAGCTCGTCTTCAGGAAATACCAAACCCTCCTGCAGAGGGAGGGGATGCCACCAAGCCTGTTTATGCAATAGATAGGCATCAGCTTGCCCTAGTCCGGAAAGGAGTGACTCGCTGCCAGCCCGCACCGCCCCGAAGGCTGCTCCGTGTGTCTCCATGGAGGATTTTCCCATCTGAAGGATGCTACAGCCCGTCACATACCCTGACTCTGGGCTTGCAGAGATGCCTGCAAGCCTCATGCTAATCTTGCACCATGTCCCTTCGGCTGTTCTGCCACTGCTGGCTTCTGTATCGCTCTTGGCTTTGGTGCCTCTCTCCAGATGTTCTTACCCTTTCCTGAGAAAAGCTGGCAGCCTGTGGAGGATTTTCCCATCTGAAGGATGCTACAGCCCGTCACATACCCTGACTCTGGGCTTGCAGAGATGCCTGCAAGCCTCATGCTAATCTTGCACCATGTCCCTTCGGCTGTTCTGCCACTGCTGGCTTCTGTATCGCTCTTGGCTTTGGTGCCTCTCTCCAGATGTTCTTACCCTTTCCTGAGAAAAGCTGGCAGCCTGTATGGCTGCAACAGGATCTTTGACAGTGGATCCTGCAGTCCGGTCACCTGCTCCTTCCTCCACAGAGCCAAGCCTGTGCCCATGAATGACAGCACAGAAGTAAATAAAGAGCAGTAATTAGAAATAATCCAATAAATGCAATAATTCCTCTTGTCCCGCAACTCTTGCTGCAGCTCAGCCTGTAGGAACTGAAGCCCAGGCCAGAATCCAGCCTGAGCCGCTCTTATAAAGCCTCTTTGCAAACAGCAACTGCGGATCTAGAAATATTTACTATAATAAATAAATAACTCAGTAACGTCTTAAATATATTAACTGCCCCTCTCAAAGAGAGCAGCAGCAATCAGTGGCCCCAGCCACCCCCAAAACCCTAGAACAGTGCCCCAAATCCTCTACCTGGCAGGAAGCAAGGAGCCAGGCACTGCGGTACCCTTTTGTATAGACCCGTGTATGTCCTCTTGGACTGTGCAGAGTCATTCTTCCCGCACATGCTGGCGAAGCGGAAATTGCCACCGAAATAGTTAAAGCCAAAGGCATCTGTGAGACACGGAAAGAGAGGGCTGAGGGTTGTACGTGCATCACGCTTCTGGGCTGTCCTGCAGGTCTCGGGGTAACACTTACTGTTCCTGTACAGGAAAAGGGCAGTGTCCTGGTACCCTTGCGAGAAAATGTCATTCAATACCTGCAAGGAGAAACACCTGAGGTCACTAAAGAGCTCTCCAGAGCACTGGCAAGATCTGTCTGAGGCTGTTTGATGGTGGAGGGTTGGGATGTGGGCAAGCACAGCTTGGGTTCCAACTACCAAAGCAGGGATCCTCTTCAGGCTGTCAAACCAGGTTGGATCCCGCCCCAGACTGGCAACCCATCAGCAGCGTCCACCAAAAAATGCACTGCAAAACCAGCGGATACTGCCCTCTCCCCTTAAAATCTGATTCATTAACGATGGAGATTGAGCTGAACCTTAAAGCTTGAGAAGGCAGGTCCAGCGTTAATTTGTTTGGTTAACCAAAACGAAGCTGGGAAGAAGACTTGGTGGGCTTACCATGGTGCTAGGTGGAAAGAGAGCATAGCTAATCCTGCAGAGGTTTTCTATCGAGATCTGAATGCTGCCGTTGAAGATCTGGAAACAGAAGAAGATAGCGGGACAATCCCGCGGACAGATATCGAGCTCTCCCGTGAATGGCGACACGGTGATCACGGCTTCCTCCAGGCTGGAGACAGGCTGCAGGCCGGTGAATCCTCCGTCGACGTACCGCTGAGGGGGAAGAGCAGAGGCAGGATTTGCTTTGGGGATTGCTACAGCGTGCGAGGGCAGCCCCACCAAGAGGAAAATAAGTGGCTGCAAAGGCAACATCTCCTGCTGTGAACCAGTCCCAGCACGTCCTCTCTTCCTCCTTGCAACCGCATTTCTTCCCCTTGCTTTTCATCCTGGCATTTGACAGCTCCTTCTGCTGCCCTGCCTGTGGCACCCAGCCGGCTCCTTGACTGTATGCTGGAATCCACAGTGGTTATTAAAAAAGGAATATAATTATTTTAACTCACAAAGCTTTGTAAAGTTGTTTTGGCAGTCCTTAGGCAATTCAAACATCACTGAATTTACAGTGTTGTATAAGCTTCAAGCCCTGAGCTCAAGCAGTCGGGCTCCCGTGTTTGATAATTGCCTGCAAATCTCTGGAGGGTGCTGGGCAAGGAAAATGTCATTTGCTGTATTCCAAAAGGAATCTGAATTTACCACCCATCTTGGGGAGATTTGAGGTTGCAAGGGCTGCAGCTGTTCGAATTAAATACTCATGAAAAAACAGCACAGAGGAACCTTGTGAGGCAACGCCCCCGAGCTCTGGGTCCTGCAAACTTTATGCACTTTTGTGGTCAAGCCCCACAGTCTGGAGTAAGCTGGAGATCTGATCTGGCAGCCAGGTACAAATATCTGAGGACAAAATCGGGATATCAGGATTGAATCCGAGGCTCGATCAGTGCAGACCACCAAGAGTCAGGGAAGGATTCTAACTCTGTACCAGATGCCAGTCTGGTGTCACAGCTTTGTGGGCTTTGACACACAAGCAGGTGACGGTGCAGTGGCTGCCCCACGGTCCATCTGCACGTGCGTCACCATCACAACGCCATGCTCCTCCTTCACCCAGGGTTAGCAGCCAACCAGGCCAAATTTGTTAACTTCACTGCGGTGTTTCGCAGAGTCTGAATATGCACGTAGAGGGGAGGATCCTCCCACGGACTTTTGGTATTCCAGCCATGCAAGTCTGCACCTGAGCTAGTGGAGACAGATCCTGTCCAGGATAACTGGATTGTGTGTCAAAGTCCCGAGTGTGGGCGTCCTCTTGTCTCACTTTGGCGATCTGCAAGGCAAGCTCTAGTCACCTAAGCTCTGTCCGTAGGCAAAGCAGGAGGGGGCTCTCCAGGTGGCAATTCCACCCAGCTGTCATCTTAGAATGGGAAGAAGAACAAGCTAAAAGGCTTTATCGTCTTCCATTGCCTAAAGAAGCAGCTTGGGCATATATATCCCTCTCTGCTCAAGGGAACATAAAGTTCAAACCCAAGAAGATACTGCTGGGAGCATATGTTTTATTGGAAATATCACTCACCACACCCCGGTAGGATGGAGGGATGAATCCACAGTAGATAGGAAGAAAGCAGCTGCAGAGGAGAGCCTGGGGGAGGAGAGGGATTGCAGAAGTAAATGTTCCTGTCAAAGTTCTCCTGGACAAAACCTGCTGAGCGGGTGCCTGCAAATTCAGGCTTGACAAATCATCTGGAGCCAGGCTGTCAGTACCACCTGGGCTTTGCACTTGACCGTGTCAGGAAGACAGGTTTCAAGAATAGGAAAAACATCTAATTTCAATGAAGTTGAAATGCGTCTCTTGAGAAGGGTATAGCACTTCATTTTTTATTTTTTTTCTACCTGCCAGCAATATTAGAGCCGGAGATCTATATATCACTGTCTAAGCACTGTCCTTGGACAGCAGCAAGGTGAAACTTTGGGGTCATTTTTCATATTTGCAGGTTTTTCAAAAAAACTAATACATCCCCACGATGTATTTTCATTCTGCTGGGGTTTGTTCGTGATGAAGCCACTGCTGGCCTATTTGCAACCATTTTCCATCAGTCTCATAAGCTGCAAATGAGCATCCCGGGTTCCTGGGTTGAGCTGGAGCAGGCTCCATGGGGTGAACTCCACCATCTCTATGGACTTGCCAACTTCTACTGTCTCCCTGCGACAAGCAAGCCTACCTCATGATCAGCTCTGCTAGGGTTTTACCCTGAGATTCTTTCACCAGCAGCTAATCGACTGGCTAATCAGCTACTTGTTTAGCAGTACAAATGCTTCGTCCAGCTCTTTTTCTCCCAGGAAAGTGCTGAGGCACAAGGAAAATTACTGCCAATGGGACTTGGCTGAGGAGACACCTGTCCAGAAAGCTGAGAGGTCACATTAGCATTAGCACAGCTCTTTGCAAAGAGTCATTAGCACTTAGTAGAGCTGACTGGCATGTTGGCATCGGCTTTCTGATGCTGGAAACAAACCTTCTGCTTTTTTGGCATGGTTTATTCCTGCCTGACTCTGAACCTAACATCTCTCTCCCTCAGAGCTTCATGGAACTCACAGCGGTGGGACCACAGCTCCGGCAGAGCTTCCTGACATTTTCCCCATCTTGGGCAGAAAACAGTTAAAATCACCAGCACTTAGAGGCCTCCACCCCAAGCAGTAGGTCGAGATCTTCCCATGGTGTCAAAATAAGGTCCTTTTACCTGAATGAGCTCCTCTTTGGAGCTGAACTCAGAGACCATGACGTTTTGGCCATCCATCACCCGTGTGAGTGAGATGTGCAGCCGCCCCGAAGCCAGCTGGTAGGAGTCCTCCGGCAGCATCCGCTGCAGAACCGCCTTGATATTCGCCAGCAAGCTGCACTTGGGAGAGAGGGGGCCCAGGATGGTTTTCCTGACTTCCTTTGCCATGGCAAAGAAAAATTCCTTTAGGTCATCTGACACAGAGCAGGAGGAAAAAAGGCAGAGAGAAAGTCAGCATCCCTGCTACCCTAAGAGTTCTATTTGTTATCCTATTTTTAACACTCCCCACAAAGAAAGCCTCTTGCCGCTCTGTGTTCAACCCTGGGATGATACTGCTGCTCTAATGGGGGATGTGGTGGTGGCACAGAGAAGGGGAGACCACCCCCATGATGTCCTCAAAGGACACTGCTGAGCACAACCCCACCTGAGGCAGGTGCTCAAGATTTGCCTGGCCAGGGATTAGCAAAAAGCTCCAGAGAGCCCCAGGAAGGGGGACACAGGTGCCCACGCCGAGTTATCGGTGCCAATGTGACTTGCACAACACGTTCCTGCCTTCCACCTCCAGTTCTGCACGTGGGCAGCCCCAGGTTTTACGGGCGAGCTGGGATGGCTCAAAGGTGATGGACCTCCTCTGCTTGGGCTTTCCTGTGAGCCAGGCACCGTGCTGGGACTCTGCACTCATCTGCGATCCCCTGGTGACCTCCCAGCCGGTGTTAATAGTCATTACACGCATCTACACAGCCCAGAAGGTGGATTAAAGGAGCAGAGCCGCAGAGAACCGGCTGACGGCTCACGAGACGTCACTTTTTAAAGGCTGCACAGTGACAGGAGGGAAGAGGAGTGCGGCAAATCCCGTGGTCAGCCTGATCCCAGGAAGGGAACTTGGTCCCTTTGCTGAAATGAGGAGTTTGCTTGGAGAAATACTCAACCTTGGGCCATTAAACAAAAAGTTTGTCCAGCTCCCCGACGCTGCAAAGAACCATCCTTGTGCCTGAGTGGGGTCCCCAGGACCCTGCACCAGCACAAAGCCGTGGGCTTGCCTTAGTGCCCTGGCTTTGCAGGGCCAAAGGTTTCCAGGCTGTCTCCGTGAGATTTCTTTAAAAGGTTGGACAGACAGACGGATTAGATGGAGTGTTCCCAAGGCAACTGGCACAACACAGGTATTAAGAAGGGTTATAAATGTTTGAGCGGATGTTCGGGCCATGTGGTGTGATAATTAATGCCGACGGGTTCACATAGGGTCCTCAGGGATGCCGAAAGAGCCAGAGACACCCCAGGCAGGTGACGCGCCCGCCAGGCTCTTTCTGGCTGCTCCATGCCCTGGAAATGGGGGAAAACCTGGAAAAATCACGTGAAGCTACTGGGTAGGAGATGAGAGCAAACCTCAGCTTTGGGGGCTTTGACCCAGGGCGAGTGAGGGATGATCCTGGCATGCAATGCCGAGACTGTCCCCGCCTGCACCAGCTTGCTGGTGATAGGCATGTGCCCAGGAGGTGACCTGTGGGGTGGCAGAGGACAGCCCGGCTCGGAGAGCTCAGAGCTCCTCACCCAGCCTGGGTCAGCGCCGGGGCTGGGTACACGACCGCAGACACCCTGTGGGTCACCCCATCAGGAACCAAGCCCACCTGTAACCCTCTTTTTGGCCCAATCCTCTCCAAGGTGAACTTGTCAGAGTTTGTGCCACATTCGGAAACCCAACCAGAGTCATCGCTACCCTGAAGGTCTTTTCTTCCCATGGGCACAAGATCATCTCAGCACCTCTGAGTGGATGGTGCCTGGTGGAGCAGAGCCCCGTGACAGCGCTGGTGCCCACAGCAAGAGCAGTTACCCAGTTGGTTTATGCCTGCTGGACAGCCCCAGCTCTGTCCAATTACACCGGCACGAGGAATTTGAGAAGAAAGTTTTGGGGCCCTTGCTGATTTGTAGAGGAGTTAATTCCCATATAGGCAAAAAGGTTCCTTTCTGCTTCATCTAAATGTGTTTGTCAAATACTGACTTGTTTTTAGCTCCAGCAGAGTGGTTCCACACCTCCTCAGGAGCTGTGTGTTTCTTCCCTGCTTCCTCCATCGTCATCCGGACCCTAGAACCCCCAGCTCCTCCTAAACATCCCCATATCTTGAAGTGGACCTTGGATGAGACTTCGAATCGAGCCTAAGTCTTGTATACTTGTTTACACATGGACACTAATTGTAAATATGGCAAGGTGTGATTATTAAAAGTGGATTAACTGCTCTGAATTAGTTTGACATATAGATGATTCTGTTGCTATGGAGGCCGCTGTTTCCACATTGCCTAAAGAGATTCAGAGTAAAAATTTTTTGCGGCGATGAGAGAAACCCCAGCCCCGGGGGCTTCTCTCTGGGAATGGGAACCACACCACATCTTCCCCCAGGCTGGGAAGGGTGAGTGGGATAACTCAAAGCAACACACAAACAGGGCTGTCAGCTCTGTATGTACCTGTGTGGCTGCCACTCGTGTCCCTTGGTGGCTAAGAATGCTGAGGGACCTAATCCACAGGGGACAAGGGAGCTTTACGTGGGCATATGCACCCACCACGGCCACAGAGACTTGCTTTGGGCCACATCTTGGTGCTCCTCAGACCTCAGAGCCGAAGAGGAGATCTGCTCCTTCAGCAGGAGCAGGAAAATGAGCCAACAACATACAGGTATGTCCAGATTTACCCATGCAATACCTAGCCAGTCATCTGAGATATCACACAGACAGTAATAACCGGCTGTTTCAGCTTACACCACCCAAAATTGCACCAACGTGGCTGCCAAAAGTGACAACCTCTGCGAATTTCTTTTATGGGTGGTGGAAGTTGCACCAGTATCGCATCTCCACGGGTGCTTTAAGGCTAATGCCCTCTATTTCTATTTTGAAATTACAAACGAAAAAAGTCTATAGTAAGGAGACTTAGGCAGTAATTTTCTTACCAAGGCCGACACCACACACCACGGCGGCGGCGATGAGCGAGCCGGCTGACGACCCGTAGACCTTGCATGCGGACTTGAGGAGTTCAGGAGCCAGCTCCAGGAGGGACTGCACCACACCGACCTGGTACAGGACAAGAAAGCCACTGCCTGAGAAGGAGAGGGAGAAACGGGTGCTCGAACCCTGGAGATCCTCCTCAGCCATCCTGAGATCAAACTGGCGTATCCGGCTCAATGGCTCGGGTCGTCCTTTTTCACCAGGTGAACCTCAATCTCTCTCTTCCTCCTTCTCCAGGCTCATCTCTGGCTGCAGAGACGTCCAGAAGACGGGTTTTGTACCTCCTTTTATGACAGCTTCCCGAGGTGTTTAGATTCACAAGCTATTTTAATTGTCTGTGCTGAAAACAGAAGTTTTCCCCTGTTCAAAACCAGCTCTTGTAATCCTGACCACAGCCAGCTCGGATGCTCAGGACCGAATCAAGGCTCCTCTTTTATACCAAGTGGTCCCAAATGTCCCAGGAGCCCTCTGGACAGCATTCCTGTGCCCGTCACACTTTGTAACATCCACGCAAAATTTGCTCTTTGTTTCGTGCTTTCTTCATCAAGGGTGTTTTCCTAAATAGGATTCTCCGTCAATCCCAGCTTAGGCACAGCTCAGGACTGAGTGAGTGAAGGCTTGTATAAGACACTTAAAACCAGAGGGTGTTACACAAGGGGTGGATGCAGGGCGTTACTCTGGGTTAGGTTTGGAAATGTTGCTGGTATTTGTTCCCTCTCCGTAGGGTTTTCTCCTCGCCTGACTCTTGGATATCCGCTGGAGGGGGGAAGCAAGGAGCTGGAGTTGCTTTCCTCTTCCTCCCCCCAGCATTGTGCTCTGTAAGGCCACAGTTCTCCAAAACCGGGGTTATCGAACCCAAAATCAAACTGCCTTCAGGCTGCCTTCGTTGGCTGAGTGGTAGTTAAAAAACAGGGAGAAATTCAGTGTATTTCTATTGCCTTTTCAGCCTTAACAACCGCTGCCAACATGCAGAATAAAAATTGCCCATTTAAACAGTGTGTTGATTAAATATTATGTCCAAATACATATAATGTGCACACTATGTAATGAATATTTGTTACATTCAAGAGTGTTTATGCTTAGCTAACACACACGTGTGTAGTAACAGGCTGGAGGAGAGATTTTTCATCACTCGTGTGGGTGCACCAGCCTGGCCAGGACAGTACGAGAAAACAGAGGATGGTCCCAGCATCCTGATGCAGCCTTTGCTGTGCTGGTTCACCCCAAATTTTCACGGTTTTCCTTGGCCTCTCCAGCCATCTCTGGGTGTCCCCCTCAGACAAATGTCACTCAGTGTGGTCACGGTTGTCCTCAACAGCTGCTGCCTGGGCAACAGGACAAGCAGGAGCAAGTTGTCACCTCAAGGACGTATTGAAACGGGATCTGGACATTCCTGGGGGTGAGCACCTGCTCGAATCAGGGCATTTGTACGTGACCACATCCTGCTGTAGACATAAGGCCCTACTGGGTTGGGTCTTCTCATTTCTTGTCTTTCCAGTGATGTTGTCTTTACATTATTCCCTCGTCAAGTGAGTCTCCCACACGTTCCTGCCTTTCTACCAGCCTTCTGGTGATATCTGAGCTTGAATCTGTGTGATTCATGCCACTGTCTCCTCCAGCCCTTGGGAAAGCAAATCCCTTCATTTAAAGGACTTTCTTCCAGCACTGGCAAACATCTGCAGGTTAAAGAAGGGCAAAAAGTATCATCTCTGGCTGTGACTGATCTGAACACACACGTGCATCGGAAGTGCATGGGTGTTTGCATGCTGGAGAAATAATTTCCATGTTCTCTCTGCATTAACTCTGCCAATTATGTGCATCGGGCCCGCAGGGGATTCTCCTGGCACCGCGTGGAAGAGGCGTAGGATGCTCCTGCCTCACTCAGCACCTCCTCGCTGCCCAGGCCCAGCTGCCAAGTTCAGGAAAGCTGTAAATAATCCCACGAGACCTGCCAGAACATGCTTCTCCATCCAGTGTGTGGCACAAGGACTGTTTCCTCACAGGAACTGGACTTGTTACAAAATGTGGTGCTCCGGGGGAACTTTGTGAATGCAAACTCCAATGAGCTGAGCCAGGAGCTGTTCTAACCCCAGGCTCTCCTTTGGCCGTCTTCTAATAGTTTCTTTCCTTGCAGCTGCCATGAAGTAACCTATTAAACGGGATTTTCCATTCCCACTGAGCGCGGGTGATGGAGGATGTTGAGGTGGCCACGAGAAAGCCGTTATCCCTGCAAGAAGACAAGTGAGTAGTGCCGTGGGGGGGTGCACGGTAAATGCCAGAACCTACCAACAAGGAGAAAGCCCAGCAGACAGCACAGCCCCACGCGGAGGCAGGGCCAGCCCCAGGAGAAGGGCACTTTCCACAAATCGCCCCCTTCTGCCATAAATTACAGGGGGGCTTCTCAAGGAGGTGGGATGAAAAATCTGCCCCGCACCCTCGCCTGCTGCAGACACTGAGGCCCCAGGACAGCATCCCGGGGGACAGCACCTCCCTGACCCAGTACTGCTCGTTATCATTCCCTTAGTGACATGACTTTTGCATTAGTTGGCTCGTTTTCTAATTTTCAAAGCCACCGTCCCTCGCCTGGCACTTAGCAAAACAGGATTAAGTGAGGACTAATGACTTTGGAGATGCAAGATCCTAGAAGCAGCCTGAGATGCTTTTGGGAGAAGAGCCCTTGGCTCTTTCCGAGCTCCAGGCGGGCAGGGGGCTGTGCGGTGCACGGGGCTGCTTCTTGCAAGGGCAAGATCCGTGCCCAGATGGCCGGTGTCCGTGATCCCAGGGATTTTCATGCGAGGCAATGGACTTAGCCGTTTGAAGCCACAGCAGGGTGTTTAGGGAAGGATGAAGGTAATACCAAGAGTTGGAAACTCTTCAAAACCCCAGGGCTAATAACTTGCCCTGCTTTAATACCTTCTTAATATCTTCAGTGGCCACAGGCAATCAGGGTCTCAATTTTATAGCAAAGAGATTAAGCCAAGACGCTGGAGTCGCTCACGAGAAGGCGCCTGGGCTCTGAGAGCCACCGGCCCCAGGGCGCTGTGCTAAGAGCAGCCATGGCTGCTCCCCATCTCCTCCCACCACGCCGGGATGGAGCAGCATCCCTGCTTTGGGCTGGGTTGTTTGGGACCTGGAGCCCCTCTGGCAAAGGGCTGTGCAGGTTTTGCTCCTTGTTCCCCTGCACCGCTGCCCCGATGGCTCGGGGAAAGGTGCAGCAACCACAGAAGGAGGATATTTGGTTCAGCTGTGATACGGGGAAAAGCACAAGAGGAAAGAATGGGACATATGAGTTGGTTTTCTCACCTGTGTTTTGCCTGGCAGGCGCATCCCATGTGCTGAGGGAAAATTACGTCCTCTGGGAAGCCAGTGAGGAGACAAAACCTTCTTTCTGCTCCATGCAAATCCCAACCCACACCCGGTGCTGCACAAGCTCAGATGCAAAACAGGGGCATCAAGTGAACCCCACCATGTCCCTGAC